TGACAGTATACACAGCAAACGAGATAACCATGCTGGGTTTCGTATCACAAATCACTAGTCAAACACTTCCCAAGTGTTTATCACACAGTCCTAAACACTTGGGAAGTGTTCAAATAGTGATTTGTGATACAAAACCCAGCATGGTTATCTCGTTTGCTGTGTATACTGTCAGAATAATATTTTCAACAATAGTTGAAAAGAAAAAGGGTTGGTTCATTGACATTGCAATACCTGGTGATGCACAAATTGTAGACATGCAGCAAGAAAAAAATCACAAAGTATCGGGACTTACAAATTGAAGTTGAGCAACTTTGGAAAAAGAAATCGTGTGTTATCCCAATTATGATTGGAGCCCTTGGAGCAACACCTAAAGGGCTACCTCGCTATTTGGAAATTCTGAATTTATCAGACTTGAATACCATGATTCTACAAAAAAAACCACCCTACTTGGAACAGCTTATATCCTCCGGCGCTACAGCCAAACAGTTCCTGGATCCTTGGTTAGGACTCAACCAGCCCCAAAGGCTGGGAATCTCACTAAAGATTAACTTCGTATTTGGAACAATTCCCTCTGTACAAAGTCTAACGTTCTTGCATAGCCAACTGGCTGTGGAGAGAACGTTCCTGGTTTACACCCTCCTTTCCTGGCTGATCCTGAAAAAAATCATTCCAAGGCTGTCAGATCAATTGGGAAATGAAAAAGATAAAATAAAATGGCATGACCGTCAGAGTCTGAATCGGAGGAAGACAAACATCTGACGGAGTGGGAGTGTGGCTCCGTTGGCTGTGGAAGAAACTGGGGAAGGGCAAAGTCCGGCTGGGCAGAGCAGGGGAGAGGGAGAACAAGAGGGAGTTCAGAGGAAGACCCAGGCCCACCACTTCCTCATCCTAGGGCACGCAGGGATGAACGGAGAGTAACGTGGGTTGTGTGGCTTACGGGGGAGGACAGGGCCCAGATTCCCTTCATTAGCTGCAGCTGGGAACAGTGTATGAAAGAGGAAGCTGAGTGCAGCAAGATATTCTGGGAGCAGACGTGACTTGTGGCTTATCTGTGTTCCTGACGTCTTCCCAACTGTGTGAGTTTTGCCGTGCTTTCAAGTCTGAAATTCCTGCTCCTGCCCTGCCAAACTAATTACCTCAGTTTGGCTTGATTGGATTTATAGTTGCAGTTTGTGTTGACCATGTTTCGGACTTAATTCTCTGCAGTCAAAGGCTGTTCCTGGGAGAGTTTTTCTCCAGCCAGAAGGTAACCTGGATATTGGGGGCAAAGCTGGAGGTAATAAAGGGACTCTTATTGTTTATCTGACTGTGTTACCTTTGTGCCACGCCCCGGTCATTACATAAAATAAAAACCCAGGCCAAGGGAAAGCATGTTGATAATTTGCATATTGTTCCAAGAAGATTGCATGAATCCTCACAATTCAAACTCAATCAGCCTTTAGCTTGTAAGCATCAGGATTTGCCTCCTAACCGGTCCCAACCCCAATAAGATCTCTGTGGATCTTACATGGCTCAAAGCTTTTAAAAAAAACTGCCATTAGCAGGAGATGGGAAGGAAACATTCTTACCTGGGATATATTGCAGCAAAGACGCAAGAGCAAGGATTGCCTTCTGAAGCAGGAAGCCGGTGAAAGAAGCGAGGAGGAAAAGCATTTTCACAATGCTGAGCTGGGAGAAAATAGCAAGCCGCAAATAGAGACGCAGGGCACTGATGGAGTATCTGTTGGCTTAGCACAACGTTTCATAATAAAAGCCTGCCTCCCCCTTTCAGGACTGAACAAGGCTAGGAGACAAGGCGGCATTAAACTGGCAGGAACAGGAGGGCACAAACCTCTCATATCAAGTTTGAACAAATCGTTTTTCGGGGGGGGGGGGGGGAGAAACAGAATTATAGCAGACCTAAATTGCAAAACCTCACATGATTAAGACATCATCTCTGCTTGCTTCATAGTGCATCACGAGCTATTGAATTAATATATCCAATTATTAACTATCCAGGCTGGGTACATCCAGGGCACTAAAGTGCAGTCGACTAGTTGGCATTTTGATCTCACTTTTGAACAAAACTGCAGGGAAACCAGTTCAGTTGGTGGGTGAGAGTTCCTGAAGAACTCAGCCAGCCACCTGATGAGTATTTTGGTCTACTATCCTAAACCAGGGAACTTCTGCCTTCCCTCCCAGGGAAATCAAAGCCCTTCTGAGTCGTTTGCTTCTGAAGTGCCAATGCATTCCTCCAGGCAAGCAGAGCATGTAAAAGCAGCGCATGGAGGAGAAAAATGTCGCCTTGAGTTTGCAAGTTGCCGTCTCCTTTTGCCCAGGGCTCTTGCTAGCAATTTAGAACAGATCAAGATCAACAGGAACTAACTTCTTGCCCACAATTCTTCCTTTTTTTTTTTTATTCTTCCTAAACTTTCCCTCAGCCTTCTCTGTTCTTCTCCATGTTTATTACAGCCAAACCTCACAACAGAGACATTAATCAACTAAGGGCAAAAGTTTTCCTGCTAGATTTATACTCTGTCTTTTCTTCTGAAGTTCAAAGCAGCATACATTTTACCAAATTAAAAGCATCATATGCTAAGGATTCTGTCCTTCAGCAGCTTTCTTGTCTGCAGTAGCTGCTAAATATTGGTAATTACATCTGATTCAGCCATAGTCTTCTTTACGCGCAGGCTCTAGAGCCATAGATCAATGGCACACATCAATAATATCTCCATGATTTTGTATTATTCCTATCTTGCTGCAGGTCCAAAGAAACAATGCTTCAATTATTCTGGCACAATTCTAAAAGTAGCCTAACTCCTTCAAAATTAATCATTTTCCTACAAGCAAAAGTATGAGCAAAGTGTGATGAGGACCAAGCAAATATTAAGCAATGCTTTGGAAGACGTGTTTATATTGGGAGACAAACCTTCTGTTTGTTTTGATCCACGTCTGGGTGCACAAGATGAGAGGCTTGGATCATTGCTCAAAAGAAGCTGAGGGAGCTTCTCGCCTGATGTTGCTAGCGTGGATACAGCCACCTCTCAGCCACTACTGTGATTAGTGACCATTCACAAATAGGAGTTATTAAAATACTCCTTTTCTTACCAATGCGCCAGACATGACAACAAAAGTCTTCAATGTGAAACCGATTTTAAACTTGGTCTTGAAACTGACCAGACAAAATTGAAGGCTGTTTTTGATCTATTAGGGATGCTTTACTTTAACAAGAAGATGGGAAAGATTTGAAGATAAGGAATTATTATTCTGATCAGATATTGCAGGTTTAAGTTTAAATAATGTTCAACCCTAACCCACTAACCAATGAAAACAGTTTATGGAAAGAAAAGTAGCAGTTAGATGTTCAAAAGCAATGAAAAACAAAAGAACCACGTTGGAAAATATAATGAACAGTTTAATCATAAAACCTATACATATGTATAAAGTAATTATCCCATAAAATTAACATTAAATCATGATTTATTTTGGGACAAAGTCTATAATGCACAAGCAAAATAAGAACATTATTACTATTTTCTTCCTTTCTATTTTATTTTCATTTCAAGTAATCAACATTATAAAATAGAATTCTTTTTCCAAAGGGAAAAAGAACAAAATAATAAAATATAAGGAAAGAAAAACATCACTTTCTAAAACTATTTAGTGAAAACAAGTTTTTAGTCTTATATCAAAGTATAACATATACAACCCAGCCAAAATTAAAGGTTTATATGCCAAGATTTCACTGTGACTCAACCACATAACTTTTTCCTAGGAAAATGAAATGTAGTTTGGATAGCTGTCAAAATAACTCAAGTTCATGGTATTGCCTTCCTCACTGAAATGATATGCTTTAGATAAAGCTCACCAGATTTTTCTCCTCCATTCTGTCATTCAAAGAAAGGTTAATAAGCCTTTCCATAGAAAAGCAGTCCTACATAACTGTTCTAAACCAGCATCTTAATTATAATTGAATTAAAACTACTGAGGCTCCTTCTAAGTTATACAGTTCTGAAATTATGAACTATTCTCTAAATCAATAAAAAAGGAAGTACAAATGTCATGGAAGTTAAAAGGCTCCCCCTCTCCCATACAACGGAACCAGTAAGCGCATGCCTCAAATCATTTGCCAGATACACCCTCTTCATTTTGTAGAGGGCCTGCAATTGCTGCAAAACTGTGCCTCAGATTCTCCCTTTTCAACTTCAGGTGATGTTCTATAGAAGAAGCTTCTTTCAGGATTCCTTCAAGCTCCTCTACATACGAAGCATCCATTGCTGCTCTCTCACTTTAGTCATAAAAAGGAAGAAAAGAAACACCTATAGTTTAAACTGCTACATACAAAACTAAAATTTGTATCGATGTTTTCAGTTGTTGTCAAGCACTTAAAAACCGTGAAGGTAAGCTATTAAATACATATTGTGGGAGACTATTTCCTCACATAAATATAAAACTTTAGTTAGAAGGTATTGAACTTGCGGTATATATAGTGGTGTCCTGCTCATATAAAGTGCTTACTTGTTGTATCAGTATGTGGGGAGTTTGCTGTTTTGCTTTGAACACTTTGGGTAAAATTCATTTTTGTGACAGTCCACTTAAACAATGGAGCTTTTTCTTTTTTCTGCTCATATCTGAAGCTCCCTACACCTCCTAAAACAGCTCCAGGGTCTTCCAAATAGCCAGGGCAGACATGAAGGATACACTGAGAGTTATTACAAGATAGTATTCCCCTATGCACACTGCTGACAAAAACAAAGCAGCAAAACAACCGAATTTTACCAATGCAATGTACACAGTTAAGAGTACGTTGGTTCAGAAAACAGACACTAAATAACTTTGGATCTTGCTATATATTTTAAATCTGTTTTTCTAGCTGAAAGCATTTTGTTACAATGGGCAAACATTTGGTTTATTTTTGCTTCTTAGTAAATAAAAAGGACTAAAACACAATTTGGGAAATATCAGTTACATCAACAGCTGAATACGTGTTCAAGAAAGTTTAAACTGTCAAAAGTAAAATAATTTACTTGCCTCAAAATTTGTGCATACTTTGATAATAGAGCATTGATTTCTTTGCCTGTATCTGTTAATATAAATATTTAATTAAAATTTGGGTGTAAATGTAAGCAAAAAGAATGGCTAATATTCTTTTCAAAATAATACCCTTTAAAATGGTTTCCAAAGTATCAGTTTTATGAAATTTCTGGGAGCTTTCAGGAATCGGATCATTTTTTTCAAAAAAACCCAATTGTGCAGTTCCTGAAGTTTCATTCTATAAAGAGAAAAAGAGTGACAGTTTAAAAAAAAATAACATCCATGGATTTCCCCAGCCATGCCATACCTTTCACTTAAATAAACAGAACACAAGCAGAAAGGAAATTACTGCAATTTAAACAATGATAATGCTACCTAGTTGAAACTCACCTTTGCCTCCTTTTTACGCTTATTTTTGTGTTCATCTGACTTTACGGTGGTAGCCATTGTTACCTGATTACAAAGTACAAGGTCATTATTTGTGGGTAAAGAAATCTGTGGAATACCAGATAACAGCACAAACAACCCAGAGTGTTAAGAACATCCTAAGATTGCCAGGCTCTCCTGATGCAATAAAAATAAACCACACACACATGAACACCTGTCTGAAAAGATGACACAATATCTTGCACCTAAAGACAGCCTGTGAAAATTCGATTTTGCCACCACTTTATGCAACCTAAGTGGGAAATCCTAGCTTTGTGGTCAGGAATCTGTGTTTCTCTGATAATGCAACGTTAATGGCATTGTGATAGTTGTCAAATTCCACCAAAAGGGTTTAATTCTCAGCAGGTTTAGGGTTGCACCACCGCTGCACTTTGCAGATTGACCCTCCTCTAGCAAAGGGAAGCTGGGCAGCATCTCCCACCCACCCACCTTCAAGAAATGCAGGGCTTCCATCCTAGTGCCAGGAATGGTGGTTTGCAGAAGCAACCACAAGGCAAGATTTGTGGGAAACGGGCAGCCCAGTGCAGGGCAGAGGGTGAAGCTCTAGATAGATGCGTGGCATAGAAATGTAATTTAATAAAATAAACGCAGAGCAACCCCACCTGCCCTAGCAGGGCTGTCTTTAGGAGGCTGTTTCCCAGAATGCCCTCTGAATGACTCTTTTCTCTTTTATGCCTTTTTAAAATATGCTTTTGATTCCTAGCTGTTGGCTGCCCAGAGTCCTACGGGAGTCAAAAATCCTTTAAATTAAAAATTCAAATGAACCATAGTATAGCATTGTAATAAAATATATGTAAGGTCTGTACATATATGTCATTCCCAAGCCATCCCTGGCAAAACGGGGGGGGGAGGCTGGGGGGGGGCTCGTTTCACCCTCACCAACCCAAAATATGCCCTGGCGTTATAAATTCCTCGGCTGTGGATGATGGGACTCCCCAGCCCCCCCCCCCTTTCGCGGGTTTCCCTGTCCCCAAATCGCCCCTCGGGGGTCCGAGTAGCCCCTGCTGAGCCCAGCCCGGGTCCAGCTGGGCTGAGGGGGGGGTGGGACTTTAGATCCGCGGGAATCCCCTGAGGGGGCGAATTCGGCCGTGTGAAACCAACAGTACACGTTTCTGGGGAAAGGGTCGACGGGGACTCGGCGCGCCTCGTGTGAACGCGCCTCACCCGATTGAGGCCGAGCCCTCCGACGCCCTGAGGCCCTTGGGGGACGCTAGTGCGCATGCGCCATCCCGCCCCGCCCCGCCGGGCGACGGTTAAGCAGCGTCTCGCGCTGGGAGGAGGAGGAGTGTATGGAGGGGGGAGGATTTTGGCGGGAAATGTTACGAGTCGCTACGGGAGGACGCTGGGTTGGAGTTGCCCAGCAGGGCGTCTTTCTAAAGAGGGCTTTCTCAACGTTGTGATTTCTTTTCTTTTTAAGATTTGTGGATTTTAAATCTCAGAAATGCAACTCCCACCAAATTATGTTCAAATCCATCCCCTAAAATAGTGTTTCCCAATCATGGGCGCTTCAAGTCATGGGATGGACTTCAACTCCCACGATTTCACAGCATGGCATAGCTGGCTGAAGAATTCTGGGAACTGAAGTCCACGGGAGGGCCACAGAGGCTGGACTCTGTAATACTCAAAACATGGCTTTTGTAATACTATTGCACTGGCTAGTTAACGTGGGGTTTCTTGTATTTTAAATTTGCTTTTTCAACTGTATTGCTGATTTAAAAAAATACATACATAGGACTGCAGGTTTTGTCCCCAAAACTGGGCTCTTGCTTGGTGTCGAAGCCGATAAAGTCACTGATCACAAAAGTGTGGTACAAAATTATGCTTTTATTTTGGTACCAAGATATAAAGACCCTGGCTCAAAAGCTAACCAAGGGCCCTGATGAGAATCTTATAGCAATTTTTATAATCAAGGGGTGGTCGCATTCGGCCCTTTGCCCTTCTCGTAATAGTGGGTGCATAACAGTTAATATTGATTAGTTATTTGGATCTCAGCCCCCTATATAGCTAAATATCGCATCACCTGTGTTTCACCCCAGGGCACGGGTCTCTTGCAAAGTGTCCTAGTTTTTAAGAAGAGACCGGACAGTCACTTAGATTAAATGGTATAGGTTCTCCTGCTTGAGCAGGGGGGGCTGGACTAGAAGACCTCCAAGGTCCTAAAGAAATAAGTGAAGATTGTTACAGAGATAACAGATGTAAGAGACAAGGACTGATAAAGGAAATGTGATTATTGTTATATTGGTAAGAAAAGTACTAACTATAATTGTTAGCACAAGATATATGTACCCAGTCGACACACCGTTTAAATGAAAGATGGATTTATTGTAAATATAAAATAAAAAACTTTTGGAGAAAGGAAAAAAAAAAGGTCCTATCTGCCAATTGCACAGTGGCAGATAGGACAGCGCTCCAGAAGGTTAACATCATTGCCCAGAGGATCATCGGTTGCCCTCTCCCCTCTTTGGAAGAGCTTTATAGCTCCCGCTGCCTTAAGGAAGTTCAAAACATCCTCAAAGATCCATCTCATCCTGGCCTCACCCTTTTTTTTTTTTTGAACTATTACCATCTGACATCCGGTATAGGATAATAAAAACAAGGACAAACAGGCTGAAAAACAGCTTCTATCCCAGGGCAGGAACTCTATTGAATTCTACTATGTAGGGCAATATTAATGCAATATCAGGGGTTTTCAATTCAATTGTATAGAATGCGAAGGATGTGTGTTTGTGTTTTAATTTTATAGTTAAAATGTACACTGAAGATGGCATTTCATTTCATTGCACGAGATGCAATGACAATAAAGCAAACTAACTTCCAGCTCATTCATTCTATTTCTAATTTCCCCAAACTTAACTTTCAAGGAAAAAGCCTCTCTTTCTGGAACCAGGGCTGGGAGGAGAGCATTCAACACATTCCAGATAAGAGTTTCGTTTTTAGCTGTTCTCAAACCGAGGTAGAACCGAGGGCCGAGGGCCAGATTTGTCCATCAAAATTGGTGAGTCAGCCGAATCTTCAGCCAGTTCTTTTTTGTACTGCAGATCACTATCAATGGAAAAGCTTCAAACTGATTTCTTTTTACACTGTGATTTTTATCTGAGGTTTAGGAAACTGCAGCCAGTGATGCAAAAGGAAGATCATTCATTATAGCGGTCCTGAAGGAGACAGAACAGTCGTCCATCCAGATGAAGTTTGTTCAAAAGAAATTTGGTGAGTGTTGATTTGTTTCCTTTCAATTCTCTAGTGAACAAGGGTAAGTTCATTAGTTGATCTGGCCATACCTTGGTTTATCTTTTCCAATAAGCAACCAGGTTGGAAGAGCATTTAAAAGCAATTTATTAGAGTAAATGTATTCTCCCTATGAAAAGGGGGAACCCTGAGAAATTGATTATATTCACTTTTAGAGTTAGTGCAACAAAGAACTTCAAAGCAAAAAAGTTTGATTGGTTTAGAAATAGTCATCTGTTCAGTTACATCAACAAGAATTACAGCTTAGCCATAGAAAAGAGCATTGTGTTCTGACTAACAACAAAAGTAACATTTGCAAAGGAAAAACATCAATCTGGTAATATACATTCTCAGGGCTTCTCAAGGGTGGCTTGACTATTTTCTTTGTTTAGCAGCTAAAAACAAAACTGTTATCTACCATGTACTGAATGCTCTCCTGCCAGTCCTGGTTCCTGAAAGAGAAGCTTTTTCTTGAAGGTTAAGGCTTATGGGAAATTATTAGCACTACAATCAAAAAAGCAAATTTAAAATACCAGAAAAACCATGTTAATTAGCCAGTATTACAAAAACCATGTTTCAAGTATTACGAAGTCCATCCTCTGTGGCCCTCACCCCCCTCTTTAAAGTGCCCAAGGTTGAGAAACTTTGACTTAAGGAGTCTTAGAAGCAGGAGAGGTCCCTCATGTGGGGAAGCAACCCTCATGCCGGCTTTCGATCCTGGAGAATCCCAGGGCAGGTGCAATTATAGAGGCTGATCTTGGTCAGGCTTAATCCTGATTAAGAGTTTGGTGCCACAGCTCTTACACCAAACAAGTCTTTTAAAATCCCAGAGTTGGAAGGTTTCACATTGAGTCTTTTTGCGATGTGTCAGAAAGCAACACACCAAATAACAGAAAACCTTGACATGGTTTGTATGCAAAAGGACAGACATGCTATAAATATGTTGCCTCTCTTCCTTTCCCTGTCTGGGTTTGTTTCTTCAATGCTTGCAATCTAAGGACATCAGAATTTCCACCCTAAGATCTGATCGCTGAAAAGGCTGCGGTTTTTTGGACGTCAAAGGAAAATGGCTTTGGTTGAATGGAAAAGATTCAGTCAAAAGTTCAGTTTTCTAAAGTTACAAAGGAGGCACGGAGGCCATGCTAAAACGTTATTATTGCCTTTCTTAAAATGCTACGAATCAGGCCTGAAATTCTAATGAGAATCCAAGGTCTATAGGGAGATGGAGATCTACCTTGGAGGGCAACCAGTTGGGTACACCAAGGCGTTTCAGCCCTGCTTCCCACCTCACCCCAGATCTCCACTCAAAAGAAGACCTCTACTCAGGCACTACCAAGGGCTCCTAGTCCCATTTTGCCAAGGCAGCAAGCTGTGAGTAGCTGTTACCAACCCCTGGGACCCGTAACGGTTTATTAACCTCCCTGCCACCAGCCCAAGTGGTCTTTATGGGGCAAGGAAAGATCTAGAAGAGCTTTCCAAATTATTTCACAAGGACCCTAGTGGTAGAGGGGTCAGCCATACCACCCTGCATCCAGGAAAAGAGGCAAAGCAACCCTGCCGGAAAGAAATGTGTCAGAAGAATGGGAAATCACAAAATACAGAAGTCAGAATAGGTTCAAGTGTCACAATTCTTTAAAGCAAAACAACCAAGTATGATTCCACTGATGTTACTCAACCAGAGAGTCAGGAAAAAAAGAGTTTGAGCAGGCTATAAAATAAACTATGGGGTATAAATCCAGAACCAGGTATTTAAGAAAGGCTAGGTAGGACGATGGAGTCCTTGCATTCCTGGAGATAACTTCTGGAGAAGGTGGTGTTTGCAGGAATGAAACAGACAGACCGCCTTTGTGGGCAGAACAGTGCTTTCTCCCTTGAAGTCCCTCAGAGAGGGAATCTGTGCCATTTCAAACTCTCTTTTTTGGGGGTGGGTGGGGGGAGATTATTTATTTGCTTGCACATTTTCTGCCCCCAAATTTAGAAAGCGTAGTGCGCCAGAGGCTTCAAGCAGGCTCTGCTCTGATCCATCTATACATTCAGATGGGCAAAGCTGTTTTCTAAGGGACACCCACAAATAGAAACTCAAATGTTACCTTAAAGGAAATAAACGTCCCATCCCACGCAAGCAGTTACTCCCCTATACTGAACTTAAGATGTGTGTGTGTGGGGGGGTGTCTTCTAAAGGTACGGGCCTCTGATTTGGGGTGCAAGTATTCCCCCTGGAGGGGAAACCTGCCCATCACAGCCTTCCCTCCCTTCCTGCCAGTTCCTCCTTTGGACTCTGTAGAGCAGGATTGGCAACTTTAAGACCTGTGGACTTCAAAGCCCAGAAGCCCCCAGGTTGGCTGGGGAGATTCTGGGAGGCC